GACTCAATTCGTTTTTTCGACGGTACTAACTCAATATCTACTGAATCGTGGTTAACTGAGTTTGAAGAACAGGTCGAGATCATGTGCTGGAATGAGGTGCAAAAGTTAATATTCGCGAAAAAATCTTTGAAAGGAACTGCAAAACTCTTTGTAATGAGTGAGAGAGGTCTAAGCACTTGGCAAGCTTCTAAAACTTCTCTTTTAAATGAGTTTAAGTTTCGCTTACCTGTACCGAATGAAGGAGATGGCCATTCGTTGTGAAATTAGTGATTCAGTTTTAATACATTACGTAATCGATGGCATAGACGATCATCCAATTGACAAAACACTTCTATACGGTGCCAGAAATTTGAGTGAGTTCAAAGAGAAGTTAAAAAGTTACGTCACAAAAAACGAAAGAGAAAAAGTGTACGACCGTGAGAAACCAAAGCGTAGTGAGAAAATGTTTCACAGCAAGAAAGGTGCAACAGTGAACAAGAACTTTCAAAAAGAGGTTACAAAACTGTAGTGTATCTCTAATTGGTTTCGGGAGTGAGCGCGAAGCAAGCAAAATAAATCCTATTGGACATTTCAAAGAGATCATTCAAATTGACCAGGAATCGTTCCTTTTAAATTTTTATGTGGTTCCAATAGGTTGCATGGTCTTCAAATTGATTGTTGGTGAGGAACTTTACTTACATGCTGAGATTATTTTCAATCGTGACGGTTTGCAAGTGCTTAAATGCCCAGTGACGACGAACAAAAAAACGATTTCGTAAACGTAATGCAAATTGATTTGGCTGAAAACAAAATAGTGCACTTAATATTAACGAGCAAGCCAGTGCGTTCGCGAAAGCCGAAGTTCGTTAAATAGTTACCAACTACAAGCCGCTTCACACAAAAACAACTAAAACCGAGGTGCGCATAGTTCTAAAGGACGATACGTCAATTTTCGCCAGACCAAGACGATTGCCGTTTGCTGAGGCGCGCCTAGTAGAAGAGCAAGTTGAAGAATGGCTACAAAATGGAATCATCGAAGAGTCTGAATCCGAGTTCACAAGCCCCGTAGTAATGGTAAAAAAGCGGGACGGCTCTCCACGACTTTGCGTTGATTTTCAAAGGATCAATAAGGTAATCGTTAAAGACCATTTTCCCCTACCTCTTTTTGATGATCAACTAGACCGTCTACAAGATGCAAAGATTTTCCACACGATCGACTTGAAGAACGGATTTTTCCATGTACCTGTCTCAGAGTCAAGCCGAAAATTTACGTCCTTTGTCACTCAAAGTGGACAATATCAGTTCCTGAAGGTGCCTTTGGCCTTTCGAATTCGCCTGGCGTTTTCCAGCGTCACGTTTACGCTATTTTTCGGCAGCTGACTCGCAAAGGCATTGCTTTGCCATACATCGATGACGTCATCATACCGGCTTTGAACGAAGAAAATGCAGTACTCAATCTGAAGGAAGTTATTGACACCTGTGCAGAGTATGGTCTTGAGCTGAATCTTAAAAAATGTAATTTTCTAAAAACGCGAGTACAATTCCTTGGCCATATCATTGAAAACCAAAAGATTACAATTCCTTGGCCATATCATTGAAAACCAAAAGATTTATCCAACCTCAGAGACGATTGAGGCTGTGTCTAAATTTAAATCTCCGCAAACTTTGAAGCAGCTGGAAAGTTTTTTGGGACTTACAGGCTATTTTCGGAAATTCATTCGAGACTATGCTATTATTTCTAAACCCCTTACAGATCTGATTATGAACAATACCAAATTTTTTATGGGTCCGAAAGAAGAAATGTCCATTAACAATCTGAAGAAGATATTGACCGCAAATCCAGTTCTGAGCATCTACAATCAGAAACTCGAGACTGAAGTACCGATGCTTGCATTGACGGATTTGGGACAATCCTTTTGCAGAAATTCTTAGACGACCGTCAGATGCATCCAGTACATTTTATGAGCAAGAAAACCACTGAAGCTCAACGAAAATATACCAGTTACGAACTTGAGATTATCGCAGTCATTACAGCACTAACCAAGTTTAAAGTTTACTTGCTAGGGATCCACTTTAAAATAATAACCGACTGCAACGCTTTGACAAAAACTTTGGACAAACAAAATCTTTGCACAAGAGTCGCTCGCTGGGTTCTGGAGCAAGATGAACATCTCAGAGCGATACTCGATATTCTCAACGACGGAAAAGAAGCCTACAATGACTATTTTTTAAAGGGTGGCATTCTTCACAAATTAGTCAGTGACGCTGAGTTAGTTGTGGTAAAGGCAAATCATAACAGAAGCTTATGAGCAGGGTCATTTGCGTCGAAGAAAGTAAAGGATCTGATCAGAACAGAGTACTACATTCCAGGTCTTGAGGAAAAAATTCAGAATGTCATAGATTGCTGCATTCCATGTATTCTGAGCAATCGCAAAAAAGGTAAACAAGAAGGACTACTGCACCCTTTGGACAACGGAGACGTTCCTCTACACACCTTTCATATCGACTTTTTAGGTCCGTTAGACTCAACCAACAAGGATTACAAGCATATCCTAGCAGTAATTGATTCCTTTTCCAAGTTCGCTGGTTGTACCCGACTAAGTCGACTTAATCGAACGAAGTGATCCAAAAACTGCGTAGCCAGAGTACAGTATTTGGAAATCCTACAATCATCATCTCGGATAGAGGATCCGCATTTACTTCGCAGGATTTCTTAAAATATTGCGACGAGGAAAACATTAAACCCATCAAGTCGACCACAGGGCTTCCACGCGTGAATGGGCAAGTCGAGAGATTGAACGCCACTATAATTTCAGTCCTCTCGAAATTAAGCATCGGCGACCCAACAAAGTGGTACAAGCACGCCAACAAAGTACAGCAGGCGATAAACTCTACATTTTCTAGATCCATCGCCACAACGCCGTTCAAGCTTCTAGTAGGTACCAAAATGCGTACAAAGGAAGACATCAAGCTCCAAGACTTGATAAGCAAGTATGCGATTTCAGCGTTTAACGACGAGCGAAGTGGTTTGAGGGTTAAAGCTAAAACTCAAATCTCGAAGGTACAAGATGAAAACAGAAAATCCTATAACTTGCGTCGCAAGAAAGCTAATAAATACGATGTTGGTGACATTGTCGCTATTAAAAGGACTCAATTTGGCAGCGACCTAAAGCTGAAACCTAAATTTTTGGGCCCGTATAAAATTGTCAAATCAAAAGGCAATAACTCGTACGATGCGCAAAAGATCGGAAATTTTGAAGGTCCAATTAATTCTTCGACTTGTGCTGAGTATTCGAAGCGTTGGTCAACACCTGATGAAGACGACGATGCATTCGAGGCGAAAGCATAGCAGGATGGCCGAATGTGGAGTGTGTCTGCTTTAAGGAGCAAGCATGCTATACATTTACCCTAGACAACAACCTTTAAGCTGAACGAGAACTACGAAAGATGTGCGATCCAAAAGTAAAGACGAAAGACGAGAAGACTACAAATAAAAATTAAAGACGAACGACGAGAACGAGCAAAAAGCGAGAGTTGCCTATATGCAGACGACGAGAAGACGGGGAGTTGAGTTCGAGCCTTTGACGAGGTGGTTCCAAGACGATAACCAAGGACGTGAAGACCAGAGATCTTGTTCAATTTAAATTTTGCTAAAGTGTATTTCTATTTCTAATACTTAATAATTAATCAATAAACAATAATAAACTAAAATCCCACATGAATGAAACCATAGGTTTTGATTGCACCTTTCACTGCTGGTCGGACTCGTCTATTGTGTTGGCTTGGATTCGGCAACCTCCGAGAGAGTTTAACGTATTTGTGTCTATTAGAATTGCGAAATCCAGGAAATCATGATTCCAACAGGCTTGAATTGGGCGGATGTGGTATCGCGCTGATGTACCCCCAAATAATTGCTAGAGCACTCCCTTTGGGCAAATGGATGGGCGAATAAATAAATAAATACATGGACCTCCATTTCTACTGAAAGGAGCGTCGAACTAGCCCTCCCTTCTCCAAGTGTCTCAACTCATTCGACAAATTGCAGTGTGTATTCGCGTACATTTATCGATTCATTTCATATTGCAGTCCAAATCATTACCTTCAACCATCTATCTCACCGTTGACGAGAGGTCGAAAGTTCGTGGCTAGCGTCATCAACAAATTCGTCACCTGCTTTCGAATGAAGCCTTTGGCCTGGGAACACGTGATGACAGGCTTGCCAGCAGATCGATTTCAGCCCAACCCAGCATTTCACACCACAGGAGTGGACTATTGTGGACCATTCTATCACAAATCAGAGACACGGAACAAAGCACCCACAAGTGCTATATCGCCGTCTTTGTCTTCTTTTTGACGAAGGCTGCGCACTTGGAAGTCGTCCAGGATCTCAGAACGGATTCTTTTATTGCAGCTTTGAGAAGATTCATTAGCCTTAGCGGTAGTCCACGTACTAATTGGAGTAATAATGCGACAAACTTTGTTGGCGCTCAACGAGAGCTAGCAGAACTAAAGAAGATATTTTTGAGCGAATCGATAACTTCCTCCAGTTAAGCGAATGGGATTGATTGGAAGTTCATACCACCGCGTTCCCCACATTTCGGTGGTCTATGGGAGGCGGCTGTAAAATCGTCCAAATTTCACTTCTACTGAGTTGTCGGTACAGCCTTCTTGGCCTTTGATGAATTAAGAACTCTTGCATATTAAATTTCTGCCATCCTTAACTCTCGTTTGAAGTCAAGCTTTCGGCAAGCCAGTAATACAGAATCGCTGCAACTCCGAGTACAGCTAATAAAATCAAGAAATAATTTCAATTGAACCTATCGTGCGTTTAATTTCTATTTCTAAACTGAAGGGTGGCATTTTGGTTGTCTTCTGTATAAATAATTATATTAATAAATTAAACATGTACAAGAGCCATTGTTGTCCAAGGTAATTCTTTTCTGAACCCTCATAAATTTGCTTTAAATAATTGCTTTTGCAATTTACGCACAATTTGGTATCACACAGTCTGCGATACTTACCTTTTCTGCAGAAACATTTGTTGGCCTTATTGGTTACCCCATTATCGAACGCGTTTTCCTCGAACACATAGCTGTATCCCTTTAGGCTACCATAGGTTTTCTCTTCGCCCACGCGGTACTGTAAATAAAAATGAGTGTGTTTGACTTAAACCTTTAAAAAACTGATTTTGAGAACATACCAAATTAATCGGCCTGCACATGCTTTTTCTAAAAAACTTTACTGTCTCGTTCGGTTGAATGAAACTTTTGAACTTTGTGCCATCGGATGCGTACTCTATGTTATTGCAGTGGTCTTGCTCCCACTGGGGAAGTTTTGTTTCTCCACGGTAAGTCGCATACAGTCCCGAAAGCGCCGGATTGGGAACGCCTGTGTAGAACGTCTCGAAATCCGTAGAGAAGTCGTACATGCGATCAATAAGCCCCACTTTCTCAAAGGATATCCAGTTCGGGAGAAAGGTGTTGCCCAGTGTAGCCAACGTCGAAGGGTATCCAAACATAAACTCCTTGGCAGTGGTTCGAACTATTGGCTCCGACTTTGTGCTTACAAGCAGTGTCTTTAGAGCCATTCTAATCAAGAACGGCTGGTTAGCTGTAAGGTGTGATATAGCCTGAAAAGACAAAATGGTTTTCAATCATAACTATAACTCAAGGTCTTTGGATAATTTTATTGAAAGCTAGTGGGTAAAATTTGTTTGACAATGTTTCTTTTCATTTCATTTTCGTTTCACTTCAGAAGTTCAGAAGACAACGTCTAAAATCTTAAATCTAATCTCGCCCGACCGGATAGGAAATTTTTCTTATAGTATGGTCCTTCTCACATATGTGTTGGCAGAGATTTACAAATGTTTTGAAGATAAATAGCCCAAAATATTTGAAACATTTATAGATACAGATGACTCGTAATACGGCTATGACATTACATTATTCTCCTCATTCATTGACGAATTCATTGAAGCTCAGAGACAGAGACAACTATATGGAGACTGTTTGAGATTTTTTTTGGTTATAAAATCACGGTCACACTGCCTTTTTAACGTTAAATTCGAACTTTATGGTTTTGTTTATTATATTGTGTTGATGCCGCTAATTTTAGCTTTTAAATGTTGACAGTTGTTACCTTTTAATGGTCAAAAATATTTCTTAAAATCGTATAGTTAAAACAAAAAATGAGCAATGAATGAACCCAACAATGTAGTGTCATAACCCCATATGAAAGCAAGTCGTTGTAATGAGAACAAGGAATCCAAAATCGTTCAAATAGGTCAAAATAAGACCTGCATATAACAAGAAATATAGGTTAGAAATTTCGATCTTGAGGTTTGACTATTTCTTAGTTTATGTATGAACATATCATTATAACAAGGTTGGCTAGTTCAGAAACAAGATCCTGATACTTTGCATGTTGAGGTGACCATACCCACAAACAATATTCGAGCAAATGTCGACCAAACGAAATAAAATGAAGGCTAGTGGAGTAAGGGGGGGTTAAACTCATTAGACCAACGTTTTATAATCGCGAAGACCCCAATGACGTTCCTCCTATAATGCTAATGTGATAGGTACAAATTTAATTCTTAAAAAAGCCTTAAAAAGTCTTTAAAGTCTTAAGAAAGCAGCCTTCATCTAAGAAAATGTCTTCTTGATTTCGGTAAATCCGTTCTTAGCTCACTATTGAACACGGAAACACTAAAATCGAGATTGTTGAGAACGGTTTTTTCCAGTAAAATGCCACATCCCAAAAACTGTTCGAATTTTGTGTTTTTTTTATTTTTCTCTTTTATTTATTTTTTTTTATACATTTTACATTCCAAATTATATAGGTAAATATATTTTAATCTTATACTTTTCTTATCAATAATTAAAGCATACATATGAAGGGGAGGGGAATCGTCTCTTTGTCGTCTCCTCTGCTGTAATGAATTCAAGGCACTGAAAATTAACTCCGGCCCCTTGAAAAAAAATTATTAAACAGTGTAACAATTTATATATGTATTCGAATTTTAAAACTAAATTGTCTGAAAAAAAACTGGTTAAAAAAATTTTAAGCGTGGTTCTGCTACAAAAAAATTTAACACGTGCTTAAGTGAAACCAAATATTTAACACGAGTTGTGAAATATAAATTTACCTCAAATGACGCTTCTGCAGTTCATGTATGTATGTGTTTTTTTTTGTCTCTTTTGATTCTAACTCTTTTACGACTGTGACGTTGTGCGAGCATTTACAAGTCAAACAAGAATAAGAATCAAAGGAAACAAAAAACACATACATACATGAACTGCAGCAACGTCACTTGCGGTAAATGCTATTTCACAATCCTTCGTTTTACTTAAGCAACACGTTTTTTTTTGTTCACAAATAATTTAATACAATCACACTTGCTTAGATTAAATGAAAATTATTATATAAAATATTATTTCTACATATTTGTAAATAATAATAATTATATACTTAGTTTTCATTTTATAAAATATTAATTACTTACTTATCGTTGGGCCTCCAACAAATCAAATGAGACCAATAGGTCGAACAACCGGTCATCTATTGCTGTCTCCGTCTCCATGCTTCCACTTTTCAACACTCAATCAATCAAAGACGAAACTTTATCTAAAATTTCAAAGGAAAACTACGATGCCCGAATAATACTTCGGTAACTTTCCGAACAATTTGAGAGAGGACTTCTCCCACAATTTGTATCTCTTTTATTTTTTTAAGTTTTAGACTATTTTCTTCTTCTTTTCATCTCGAGTTCAAGATCTTTTCTTCTCGATCAGCGAAATTGAAAACAAAAAAAACAATTTCTCCTCGATTTCTAGAACGTTTCTTCTCGATAAAGTGAGAAGTAAAATTACTGAAATAGAGCAGATTGATAAATCAGATAGCAATTCAGCATGGACTGCTTTTGTCGCAAATCTTCCTCGAAATCTATGTGTGGTATAAATCGGTCCACATAAATCTCTAGATAATAAAAAGGACGTCGATCAAGAATGCGATTAGAAGGAATAGAGCCCAAAATTTTGTGTCATAAATTGTGGCTTATAGTTGCAATGCACACACTTTCGAACGACCTGGCGAAGTAAAATTCGGGCATTAATAATCCAGGCTTCTAGTCGAACAATTCCAATTAAGGCCTTAGGCCCAGCCTGCATATGCTTCTTGTGTAAGTGTTCGGCAAAAAGTCACGTAAACCTATGATTTTTTAAAAATGATCGGAAACCTTACATTGACGCTGATTGATGCCTCTAATAGGCGTCCTCCAACAATTAAATTTAAAGTTGCAGTTCGTGTTTTTGTTTTGGAAAGAAAAGCAGTTAATCTTTGAAGTTTGGGGCTAAGAATTTTGTTAGCTTCTAATGCTGCGATCTCCTTAGAATATTCTTTCCGCAGGATCAGAAAGGCGAGACGAAGAAAGGTTTATTTTGCTTTGAGACGTGATAAAGCCTTGACATCACCAATTGTTAATTTTCGTTCAGATGTGCGGTTAAAAATTCGCAGTACGTAAGAAAATACCCTTAATATTTTATAAAATGATGAAACTCGTTCAATTACCGTTTCACTACTGTTCTGCCTGCATTTCCTACTCTTAACAACTATTATTTTGCGAAGCTCTAGCGATTCTTTATCTATTGTTGTGGTGAATTGAGTCCATTGGTCCTTGGCCAAAGCATCAAATACAGCCCGAAGTTTCGTTTTATTGCTTTGGGGGCAAAGGACACAATTTGGCGGAATAATATAATGACGGCTACGCCCGTCTATGTGCTCTGCAAGACTTATATAGCCAAGGACTTTATATTCATCCATAAATGCTATATACAATTTTTTAATGTTGGGTTGCGATTTAATCTTGCTTCTAGTTTCAGATAACGACACTTAGCAATACTGAGCCAATCACCAAGTCATGTTGTTCGGCTTTTGAAGGGCAGGTGATCTTGTACTCTACTTGTGCCAGAAAGTCAAATATGCGCTGCAGATAATGTTATCTTTTGTTTGAAGATTTTTATTGTGCAATCTTTCAAACTCTTGAACTTCCCAGAACCTTTGCCTCAGGTCTTACAGCCCAGACGTGCGAGCAAGATTGCAACGACTTATTTTACTCACAGAGTCTCGTAGCTTACCACCAACACCAACCTAACTGATTGCCTCGAAATTAACAGAAAGTCGACGCGAAGGCTTCAAATAGAAGGGATCAGCTTAAACAAGGTTTTTTGAAACCATCCAGTCTGAAGTTTCTTTCCAGTCATCGGGCTCTTTGGCAGATATAGCTCGAGTTACCGCTAACTGAAAGGACCAAAAGAAGTAGCATTTGCGTGATTTAAGCTCTGCAACTATCGAAAACTTCAAAGCTGTTCTTACATCGGCAATCCCTGAGATTTCCTGTTGATTGTGATGAAATTTCTACTGCAAGTGTTTGGCAAGTTTCTCCGTGATAAAATCTACTTCAGAACAGGAGTCCAGTAAGGCACGAGAAAGTTGAAATTCTCCATATTTGTCCTTGATGAATACTACAGAAGTTGTCAAAAGAGATAGGGGAATCTTTAAACAAGCTAACGCTACAACCGCTGAGAAGGTGACTCTAAGGTGTGTTCACCCTTATGTAAGCTAGCATGGTGAGCGCTGTAACACATTCTATGTTTGTGACACACTGTAGCATCGGCAACAATGTCGCGCCAGCTTATTCCCACAGCTTGGCGACTGCAACAAATATGTATATCCATGTATGCACATAACAGTCCTTTGCTCTCTCTCTCTCTCTCTCTCTCTCTTTCTCTCTGAGCACCGCTCTCAGAGATAAACATATGCTAACATATAAGGCATTTGCGTCGCTGCCGGCTTGACCGACAGCGCCGACTGCGTAGCATAGAACTAAGAATCTAAGAATATAGTCAAGAGATGACGGCGAACAAAAGAAACAAGTAAATTTAATAAACGTATTCATATAAAATATGACCAGTGCGTTTTATTTCTATTGAAAAATACTGTGGAACTTTAATATCACCCTTACATGGCGACCGTGACAGTGAGTTGTGCTAAAAAGCCTAAATTAAGAGGTAAAAAGTGCTGTACTGAAAAAAAAGAAAATATATAATATAATATAACACATTTTTAAACTCTTATAAAAACCAAAAAATAATAAATTCAATATGACGAAAAAAAAACAATAATACGCTTTTGCCGCGCTTAGACGACGTATTTCAAATGTGCAAACATATTTATTTATTTATTGTTAAATTATTTATATTTATGCACTTACTTGATAAATTAATAATTGCCTAAAATTTTCACTTTTAAAAACACTTCCTAACTCTGTTGCACTCGAATTGAAGTGCAAAGGGAATGGGGAGAACGAAAAACGAAACCGATATTTCTGCCTGACGCGTGACAGGGTATATCCGACAATAACAATGCCTTGTAGTTAAAATCACATAAGGCAGATAATTAAATATGAACATTTTTGGCGTTGGCTATTGCAACTTTACCATAACTTCCATAATATTATTACATGTAATCAATAAAAATCTTTTATATATCATCTTAAAAATTAATAAATATACTAGCGCTTCTAAAAAAGGGTATTCAAAAGTCTACACAGTTCTTTTTGTTCTTGACATT